CTTAGCTGTAAAAGTAAGACAACAAGAGGCCAATGGCCCAGTGGAAACTGCCAAATGGATGTAGAGTGGGTAATCTGTTAACTATGTTTTGTAGAGGAATTTGGCGTAGCCTGGGTGAGGGGAGATGGCCCTCTTTATGACTGGCAGGAAGTCACGTACACACACACACACAGGTACGCGCACACGCAAGCACTCATGTGCTCGCACATACATACACAAACACACTGTTTTGGGTTTCCAACACACCGTGTGGGTTTTACGATGGGGAGTTGCTTTTATAAAACTGGTTGTAACAGACAAAGGAGTTGAGATTTGCAGAGGGACTGCCAGGCCCTGTACATCTCCCCTTCTGGAAGGTGCATGCGTGACTGAAGATGAATAAAGGTTTTGTGAAATAACTACTGAGTTCCAGTGTCATCTCTGGAGGCCTGGGGAATAAAAAGAACTGGGGTCAAACTGCTTTGCGTAATACTCCACTTGCGCACCATGGACTCATTAATGTCAAATTGTCTCGCAGCTGCTCTATAAACCATTTTCTACAGCAAAACTGATTGCCTGGAGTTTGAAATAAAACTGAGAAATTTTAGCAACCTGCTCATGGAAGTACAGTGTGCTAAAGCTGGTGGAGACCTCCCTGGTCTCCCATTCCTAGATACAGCAAGAGTTAATCCAGTCATTCAAAAACTCCCCTTCTATCTGCAAGAAAGGTTAAAGTAGGAGCCAACTACAAATGCACAAAATGTGTCTCTTTCCCACCATTTAGTGTTCTAGTAGACTTTGTAGCACAAGAAGCTGATGCTAGAAATGAACCCAGCTTTAACCTCACATCATCACCTGATGCACCCAGACCAGACCAACTACCTTGGAGAGCAAACAGACAAAAAGAGATTTCTTCCCCAAAATCCACTCTTTCTGTCTCAGCACGTCAAGTGAGGAACGAGCTTTGCAAGATCAAGGTGAGTAAGGCTGCAGGTCCAGATGGCATCAGCTCCAGGCTCCTGAGGTGCTGCGCAGATGAACTGTGTGGAATTCTAGGATATCTCCAAACGCTGATTCTGTTCATCTGGACGTAGCGTTTTCTGGGAGAAACGTTTCGTCACTC